AATGGGGCAAAACTCACTTAACAAATGTCTCACTTAGCAACAGTGTCATAAATCGAGGACTACCTGTGTGAGGGCTGTGAGCTTTATACTGGCCTGGGACAGTTTTTTCTACCTTTCTTTGCTTCTCAGCATTGCAGATGGGTATGAAGCAGCTAGAGATTAGTAATAAAAAAGATTCCAGTTCCCAGCATTCATAGGAAAAAGTTGTGCTGATGTATATAATTGATGGCTTAATATTTTTTTGAGCCTGTTTCAGGTTACATGGAAATCATGATGTACAATTAGCTGATGACTCAGATAAAAATGTGCCAGGAATCCTGAAGCAGTATAGCACACCCTTGTTTGCCTCTATTTCAAGTTTATTATTGTCAACTGTTGGCAGTTAAGTTGACATACCACCAAAAGAACACTGTTGACAATTCAGACTGGTAAGTGAAAACAGAAGGAAAACAAGGAGACTTCATCATTCTTTTGTTCTTCTCTGTTCTGCCTTCTAAAAAAGGAAGAAATGACTGAGAACAATTTTAACACTTAATGTTGAACTCTGGCTTAATGCTGTTGGAATGAATCAGAATGAACTTTGGACTGGAAGTATTTGGTTCTCTTTCTTGCTCAACAAGGTTTGGGCTCGCACACCAACCTAGGTCAGTTTTAAAACATCTTAAAATAACTAGGTTATGCTCGAGTGACTTCACATAGCACATAGAAATAAATCATGGATTCTATTAAGTCAGGAAAATACACTAGGCCTGAATGCAATGTGTCTACCAATCCCAAATCTGATGAGAGCAACAAACCAATTTCAAATGATGGCTGTTGTTCCTTTGCTTATTTTACAAAACCACAGTTGATATTGTTCTTAGAGAAACCATGGTTCATTGAATAGGGTAGCAAAAGTCTTTTGTAGATACTCTGAAAGAAAAGAGAGGTTGGAGCATACAAGCATGTCTCCTGCAAACGCTGTTAAACTAGAGTTTAGAGTTAGAGTTACATATGAACTAGGCCAATGTATTGACCTTTGCCACTTTGTGGAAGATAAGAAAATATCTGTTGGGCAACCTGTGGTCCTTAGGATGTTGCTCAACTAAAACTTCTAGCTTTGTCACTATTAGCATACTGGCTGTGGTTGCTGGGAATTCTAGCCAGAAACAGCTGGAGGGTCACAATTTCATGCTTTTCTTTCCCGCATGCTTATTTTGCCTCTAGCATTAACATGATGGATCAATTGTTTACCCTGAGTAGAATCAATTAAACTCAGCCTCTCACTTGATTTCCAGTGATTGCCTATATAGCACTGGAATTATTGAAATAATAAGGGAAATAGGTGATTAACAATAATAAACAGTCCACATTGGACTTCAGAGATTATGATCTTTCCAAAAGGATTGGTAAAAAGAAAGTTAAAAAAGCAGGGTCAAGTTTTTTCAGAATCCTTGAAAATCACTCAAAGGTACCGCCTTAGAAACTCAGCTGGAATGTAGTGCCATGCAATTCATAGCATGTTAGAATGGTTAGCCAGCAAAGTCAGATGCACAGAAGCAAGACCACTGTTTTCAAAAAATGGAAATCCTGATTTTAAAAAGGCCAATAAAAAGGAACAGGGCCACTGCTCATCCCTATCTTTGATTTTCAAACACTTTAAAAAGCAGACTAAATCATTAAAAAGGGAACGCAAACACTGATTTTTGATAATGTGCTAACCATTATATAACTAACAAAATGAAATTCAATGGTGAAAAAAGCAAGGTTCTACATTTAGGCAAGAAAAACCAAATGCACAAGTACAGCATAGGTTGCACCATGCTCAATAGTAGTAACTGTGAGAGGGACCTCGGAGTCCTAGTAGACAATCACTTAAATATGAGCCAGCAGTGTGCTGCAGCTGCCAAAAAGGCCAACACAGTGCTAGGCTGCATTAACAGAGGGATAGAATCAAGATCACGTGAAGTATTAATACCACTCTTCAATGCCTTGGTAAGGCCACACTTGGAATACTGCATCCAGTTTTGGTCACCACGATGTAAAAAAGATGTTGAGACTCTAGAAAGAGTACAGAGAAGAGCAACAAAGATGATTAGGGGACTGGAGGCTAAAACATATAAGGAACGGTTGCTAGAATTGGGTATGTCTAGTTTAACGAAGAGAAGGACAAGGGGGGACATGATAGCAGTATTCCAATATCTCAGGGGCTGCCATAAAGAAGAGGGAATTAAGCTATTCTCCAAAGCACCTGAAGGCAGGACAAGAAGCAACGGGTGGAAACTAATCAAGGAGAGAAGCAACCTAGAACTAAGGAGAAACTTCCTGACAGTTAGAACAATTAATCAGTGGAACAGCTTGCCTCCAGAAGCAGTAAATGCTCCAACACTGGAAGTTTTTAAGAAGACTGGACAGCCATTTGTCCAAAATGGTGTAGGGTTTCCTGCCCGAGCAGGGGGTTGGACTAGATGACCTCCAAGGTCCCTTCCAATTTATTATTATTATTGGATCATCGCACAGTCAGCCAGATGTTCAGACTGGATTTGGCATTTTGTCTACCTATCGAGTCCTTACCCAGGACCTGGGATAGGCAGATGTGGATGTTTGATGGTATTACAGGTATCGTCGCAGGATGGAAGCAGTTCCTAATAAGGCCGCCTTTTGCAATTGACTAATAGCGAATTTGTCAATGCCAATGGTGTTCAAGTGGTGCTCCAGTTGTTTTGGGATTGCACCCAAGGAGCCTATGACTATTGGTACTACCCTTGCTTGCTTTTGCCACAGTCTTTCTATTTCTATTTGTAGGTCTTTGTATTTTGTTATCTTCTCCAGTTCTTTCTCTTCTATTCTGCTGTCTCCAGGCACTGCCACGTCCACTATCCAGACTTTTTTGTCTTTCTTATCGACAATTGTTAAGTCTGGGGTGTTATGTTGCAGGTGCTTGTCTGTTTGAATTCTGAAGTCCCAGAGCAGTTTAATTTTATCATTTTCTATGACTTTCTCTATTTTATGATCCCACCAGTTTTTGCTTACAGGCAAATGATATTTTTTGCAGATCTTCCAATGCACCATTGTTGCTACTTTGTCATGCCGCTGCTTGTAATCAGTCTGTGCAATCTTCTTGCAACAGCTTACCAAGTGGTCCACTGTTTCTTCAGCTTCTTTGCATAGGCGGCACTTACTGTCTGTTGCTGTCTTCTCAATTTTGACTTTGTATGCATTTGTCCTTAAGGCTTGGTCTTGTGCAGCCAGAATTAGTCCCTCGGTCTCTTTCTTCAATTTTCCTGCTCTTAGCCATTGCCAGGTTTTATTATTATCTGCTTTCCCAGCTATTTTTTTCATGTATTGGCCATGTAGTGCTTTGTCTTCCCATGCCTCTATTCTGTTCTTCATTTGGTCTTTCCTGTAGGCCAGTTTGGTCTCTCCAGTAGTTAGTAAGCCTTCCTGATATACTAATTTCAGTGCATCTTCATAATTATTATTATTATTATTATTATTCACTGAAGTTATGCAAGAATACTCTAAAAGGTGCCCTACCCCCAAGAGAAAAAGGAATTGGAACAGCATATACCCAAGAATATTAAGATGAATGACAAAACCTTTAAAAATAAAAAATAAAATGGTGAGCAAGACCTTTGATTTTTGTGCAACAAGAGCATTAATTAATTAAGAGCATTTTTTTTTACACTCTACTAGTTAAGGCACCAGGCTAGAAAGTGGGAGACAGTGAGTCCTGGTCCCTCCTTAGCCATAATAGCAAACTGGGTGACTTTGGGCCAGTTGCTCTCTCTTAGCCCAACCACCTCACAGGGTTGTTTTTGTGGGGAAAATAGGAGGAGGAAGTTGGACTGGATATGTTCACTGCCTTGTTATTTGTAAAAGTAATAAAAAAGGAATACAAATTAAATAAATAAAATTACTGTACAGTTGTGTTAAAGGAATGGGAAAATGTAAAGACATATCATCAATTGGTTCTTTTTTTCCTGCTGGATTGTAAGGCAGAACTGGTCTTTTGGGGAGAACTGGTTGCACTGAGATTACATAGGGCCACCTGAAGATGGGTAAAATTTCATCCCATTATTTTGGAAGAAAGTCAAGGAATTGGCAGTAAATAGAGGCATACTAGAGATTAGCGATTGAGACAGATTTCATGTTGGGATTGTTTTTTGTCAGACTGAGGATGGGTGGAAAGCACATCAACTTTCCTGCAGGGAAGGGCTCAGTGTGACTGAAGCTTGAATGGTAATTCTCATGCATTTATCCTGAAATTGGCACAACCCTTGATTAAAAAAAATTTACATTGATCAATAATTTTGCATACTTAGGCAAAGTATATTTTGCCCTGTCATTGCCCCAACAAAACATGTTTTCAAAGATCCAGAGAATGTGATGCCTCAGGAATATACTGTATTTTATTTGGTTTGTCTTCTTTCTTCTTTCTCTTCTACCATGTGTTGATCTCCTTTGCTCCAACTTATTTGGAATCTAATATGAAGCAATTGTATAATACTTTGACTAACCATGATCATAGAAAGCCTTGATTCAGACTTCACTAAGACCTAGTATGGGAAAAGGAATTAGTTTCAGCTTAGCCTCTTAAAGTATTTAAATCAGCTGTTAAATTATGGCTTAATAATGTATTCCATGATTCAACTATCATTTTTCAACAAAGCTTGCCTTAGTGTCATGTGTGAATCAAAACAAAACATCTAGGCTGCTAGGATGATCCTTGTTTCAAACCTTAAATGCATTTTGGAATAAACCTTGCTAATATGTTATTTTGTTTTTAGGGCATATTTTTATAAGAACTGGGTGTGGATCTTTGATAAGTGGTTATTATATGTAAACGTGGAAAGAAACTTATAGGTTAGCAAGTTAGTTTATAATCCATTTCCAAAGTCATCTTGACCGTGTGTATCAGGATGGGAACCTTAACTGCATAATCAAATCTGCATTCTTTGGTGTCCATTTCTTTATAAATCCTCTTTTAAAAGAACAATCTTATATTTATTTCTTTACAGAAGTGTCTTTCCATCTCTTTGCTTTGCTCTGTGGATGAAGAACTATCTTGGCAGCCTCCAATTCTTCGAGGTAAACATGTTTGCTTTATTTTTTCTTTTACAAACGTTGTAATGTGAAATACTGCTTAGAAGTTGAGTATTAATGTAGTATGGTTTATAGCAGATTCAACAAATACATCACAATATACAGGTGTAGCTCAATCAATACTATATTTAAGGCTGGCCTTTTCAAGCCTGGGGTCCTCCAGCTTTCTGTGAGTCTAGTGCCTATGGCATGGGTGCCAGAGGTGGCACTCAGAGCCCTCTCTGTGGGCACGCGCGCCATTGCCCCAGTCCTATGCCTTCAGCTGGGTTTTATGAAACCTTTTCACTTTAGGCCTCTGCCGCCGTGTACAAAAAAAAAAGGTTCAATTAATCAGTCAATTTCAAGTTCTCGTGGGAAAAAAAAAGATCTTGCAAAGTTGGAATTGATTGATTGAACTTTTTAGTCCCATCCAATCTGCTGTTATCACCGTAGCCACACCCACCCAATGGGCCACACCCATCTGGCACATGACGATGCATAAGTAGGTTTTGGGTTGCAGTTTGGGCACTCGGTCTCTAAAAGGTTCACCATCACTGTCCTACACTGTCTGCCATTACCACTGAAGCCACGCCTACCTAATGGGCCACACCCACTCAATAGGCCACGCCCACCCAGCATCTGATGATACATAAGTGGGTTTTGGGTTGCAATTTGGGCACTCAGTCTCTAAAAGGTTCGCCGTTACTGGCCTAGAAGTCCCAACAACATAAAGTTCCTTGAGGTCTGGGAGTTGATGTTTGAAGAAGAGTATTATCTGTAGTTTGGGAATATTAGGACACAATTACTTTTTATTTTTATAATCCATCAGTTATATTCTCATAAAAATGACCCCATCCCTTTCAGGATTCTGGCTTTGAATGGAATAATTAACCCATACTTCCCTCCATCCCCTTTTCCAATCCGGATGAGAGCATCCCACAGTAGCAATTTGAAGAGGAATTGAAAACGGACTTTGCTTTCCTCTCTTTTGTAAATCTTAGGTATACAAGGGAATGACAGCAAGGGAAACAAAAGATTGAAGACTCTTGCCTTCCATATTTCTTTCTTCCCAATCTGCTTTCTCATTCTTAAAAACAATTAAACTTAGTCCGAACTGGCTTTCCTTGTGTTTTTCAACCTCAGTAACTTTAAGATGCATGGACTTCAACTCCCAGACTTCCCCAGCCAGCAAAGTTGCAGGGGTTGAGAAACACTGTTTTTAAAAAATAAATGCAGATGCATGTTGGGTAATGAGTTGCTGATAAGCAATTGGTGCTTTCCAGATATTTTGGATGACAATTTTGACAATATCTTTCCATTACTCTTGTCAATTGGAGCTAAGAAAGGGAGACCTCAGTAGCTGGCAGTATTCTAAGATCAGATCAGATCAATGAAGGTCATAAGGAAATTTTGGCTTTTGACCCAAAACCTTTCTGAAGACTCATAAAGTCATTCCTAGATTGGAGTTTTGCAGTGATCTCTTAACGTGGATGTTCTTTCTAAACCTGGGCTGCTAATTTCTGAAAGTTTGTGCTTATCTGTTTTTACATTCTGAAATGTATCTGTGAAAAATAATTTCTGGGTATGATAACAATTCTTATGGTCTAGAGTAGGGCTTTTCAACCTTTTCACCCATTGTACCACTTTCAGGATATGGCAATATCCGAGTGCCACCAGTCGCCTAGCAAGGTGTCAAAAACTTGATGACCGTCCCAAAAAAAGAGGAAAAAAAGTGATAGTCCTCGACTTACAACAGTTCGCTTAGTGACTGTTCGAAGTTACAATGGCACTGAAAAAAGTGCCCCCCAAGGCACAGCTGAGCAAGACACCTGCCTGCCCTCCCGGTGGCGCTCTTTCTCCTGTCCAAGGTTTTCATTGTTGTGAGCATTTCTGTTGAGGATTGGCAGTGGGGGTGGGGTGGGGGGTGTTTGGTTTTTATTCCCCCCGTCTGCTGGGTGGTTGCAGCAGATTTTGGTCACTTCACATGACCCTGGGACACTGTGACCATCATAAATATGAATCAGTTGCAACTTCCTGTTCCGGCCAGCAGCGTCATCGGCTGAGAGACTCGGGATGCCGAGCTCTTCAGCTGAGTTTCTTCTTGTTTGGGGACCCTAAATGGGCCAGAAGCTGCCCCGGAGAGGTGGCAATGAAGGAAGGTACTTCCAGGGACCTAGGAAAGATGGCGGTCTCTCCGATTGGTCCAGGAGAAGCCTCCCAGAAACCAACAGAAGAAAGGCTAGCTAACTCCATTGTCTAGCCCTAGCTGCAAGCAAACAGAAGTCAAGAAGCTCTGCCTAAACTGATTGTAAACAGTGTGTTTGAAGCTGAGTAAGAACTAATTCCAATTCCAAAGAAAGGCAATGCCAAAGAATGTTCAAACTATCGCACCATTGCACTCATTGCACATGCTAGTAAAGTTATGCTTAAAATCCTACAAGCTAGACTCCAGCAGTATGTGGATCGAGAACTACCAGAAGTACAGGCAGGATTTCGAAGAGGCAGAGGAACTAGAGATCAAATTGCCAACATACGCTGGATCATGGGGAAAGCTAGGGAGTTCCAGAAAAACATCTACTTCTGCTTCATTGACTATGCAAAAGCCTTTGATTGTGTGGATCACAACAAATTGTGGCAAGTTCTTAAAGAGATGGGAGTACCAGACCATCTCATTTGTCTCTTGAGAAACCTATATGCGGGTCAAGAAGCAACATTGAGAACTGGACACGGAACCACTGATTGGTTCAAAATTGGAAAAGGAGTCCGGCAAGGCTGTATACTGTCGCCCTGCCTATTTAATTTATATGCAGAGCACATCATGAGAAAGGCAGGGCTAAATGAATCAAAAGTTGGAATTAAGATTGCCGGGAGAAATATCAACAACCTAAGATATGCAGATGATACCACTCTAATGGCAGAAAGTGAAGAGGAACTAAAGAGCCTCTTGATGCAGGTGAAGAAGGAGAGTGCAAAAGTTAGCTTGAAACTCAACATTAAGAAAACCAAAATCATGGCATCCAGCCCTCTCAATTCCTGGCAAATATATGGGGAAGAAATGGAGGTAGTGACAGATTTTATTTTTCTGGGCTCAAAGATCACCTCAGATGGGGACTGCAGCCAAGAAATTAAAAGACGCTTGCTCCTGGGGAGGAAAGCTATGGCAAATCTATACAGCATTCTAAAAAGCAGAGACATCACCCTGCCAACAAAAGTGCGTATAGTCCAGGCCATGATTTTCCCAGTTGCAATGTATGGCTGTGAAAGTTGGACCATAAGAAAGGCTGAGCGCCAAAGAATTGCGGCCTTTGAACTATGGTGCTGGAGAAGACTCCTGCGAGTCCCTTGGACTGCAAGGCGTTCAAACCGGTCAGTCCTAGAAGAGATCAACCCCGACTGCTCTTTAGAAGGCCAGATCCTGAAGTTGAAACTCAAGTACTTTGGCCCCCTAATGAGAAGGAAGGATTCACTGGAGAAGAGCCTAATGCTGGGAAAGATTGAGGGCAATAGAAGAAGGGGACGACAGAGATTGAGATGGCTGGATGGAGTCACTGAAGCAGTAGGTGTGAATTTGAATGGACTCCAGAAGATGGTAGAGGACAGGAAGACCTGGAGGAACGTTGTCCATGGGGTCGCGATGGGTCGGACACGACTTCGCAATTAACAACAACAACAAGAACTAATTTTCTCTATCCTACTTATTTTCCTGAAAAAAAGAACTCCCAAGAAGCAAAAATACCTCCGAGAGTGAAAAAAGGGAGGGATTCTCCCGCCCCCCCTTTGGCTAAATATAACTCTTTAAGGAGGAAAAAAAAAGACTAGAAAACTGAAAAATGATCCAACACTGACACCGACTGGTGGATGAGGAGCTATAAAGCTTTTGTTTGTGGCTTTCAAAATTTTAGTAAATACAGCTGCTCAAAGAAAGTGATATTTACAGAAACAATGGATGCTTTACAAGACACGCTGCAATCCATTCAAAGGACAATGATTTTAAACCACAAAGAAATACAAAACAACTTTGAAAGTATAAGTCAACTTATCTCCAATTTAAGTTCACTTCAAAAAAATCCTCAGGAGAAAATAGCAGAGATGATTGAATATAAATCAAAGGGAAAAGGCTTAAAGATGGACTTTCACAAAATAGAAGCATATGATTTAATTCAACTGGAAGGAAAGACAACTTACACTTCAATATCACAAAACAAATTGGAAGGCAAGAGAAGGGATTTTAATGGAAAGAAGAGGGCAAGTGCTCAAGACAGAGATATTGATTTACTTTCTACATCTACAGGAATACCTACGATCGTATGGGAAAACCTTTGGATCCAGCAAAGTATATTGATCAAGAAAGATTCTGGGCAAAGAAAAGAGATTAAGAAAAAAGATGATGGGACATACCAGACAGAATACTTAAAAAAGAAACATGTGTTTGAATATGGTTAAAGAAATAGAAAAAATTTGAAAGACACCACTCTAAGAGGGATGAAATGTTTTAGATACCTAAACGTGACTGAATTCATGTATGTATATATGTATGTATGTATGTATGTATGTATGTATGTATGTATGTAATGCTTTGAATTAGAGTTAAGGGATTAGATGACTAGATTTATTGAATAGAATGTTTAAAGATTAAATATATTTTTAACTATGATTAAAAAGAATTAGAAATTCGAGAAAATAAATATTACTAAGCTAGGAGAGATATATATTTTAAGTACTATGTTATTTTCTTTGTTCTGTTACAACTGCTTTCTTCTATTCTTTTGTATTTTTTTATTTATTTTTTTTATTTTTCTCTTCCTCTCTCTTTTTACTTTTATATTTAATACTTAAGAAACACAAAAATGTGAGATGGCTTATATGGAAAAAATAGAATCAAGTCTGTCAGCGTAAATTAACTAATTGCTACCAGTAAAAATACTCAGAATTTGGTGGGAAAAATAAACTAAAATAAGGACTGTAACAGGATTGATGATAAGGCAATCCAAATGAATGGAAAGAAA